GGGACGGGACAGGATTTTTTTTTCTGTGGGAGTGGGACGGGACAGGAGTGAAAATCCACTCCCGTGTCAGTCTCTACTGTGCAGAATGGGAGGAAATGCTAAACTGATGTGACGTTGGGTGGCCATGGCCACTCCTTGCCACCCCCTGGTGGCGCCACTGATCACGTAGCCAACTTTGTTATTCGTGCAACTGTCACTACCCGACAGCAGCCTGAAAAGCTCTTGTAAGGATATATTTGCTTGTCTAGTGACCATGGATGTTCACTACTTTTCAAGGTGCATTGTAGAAAATTTCCAGTCCACTACTTTTTCATCCACTAGATGCTCGGACGCTCATCTAAAATGGCGTTAAGGCGGACGATTGGACACAGCTAGAATGTCTTCGGTCAGAGGATTCTCCGGTTCCAATGTCAGACAGACAGCTGCAGATTATCCAAATCTACAACTTGTTCAAATAAAGATATGAATTCCAGTATTAAATAAAACATTTTTTAATTTGATTTGAATTAATTGATTCACCTGCTTCCTCTAAGCACTAAAATGATTCAAGCCTGCATTTTAAAACCAGTACGTAAAAAGAAAACACAACATCTACCCAGACAGACGCAGACGGACAGCAGCTCACCTGACTTGCCCACCCCCGCTTTGCCGAAGACGGCGAGCTTCACCTCGGGGCTTTTAGCCATGGCAGCAGCTGCGACCAGCAAAGCTCAGCGAGGCGGTGAGTGAGCTCAGAGTTCAGCCAACCATCCTCTGATGCGTGCAGGAGGAAGCAGTCACTGAGGAGACAAGTTCATGAAAAGAAGGGCAACTTTAATTCCCCGACATGAAAGAATGAATTCTTGAACAACTTTATCGGAAAAGTAGCAGATCCTTACGGCAATAAATATATTCTTGTGCTTTTCCCTCCCTTTTTAGCCAATATCTAGTTCAGGGTTATATTTTGAAGGGACTTACTTTGTTTTATTCTTCCTAACAGACAACAAATTACAACATACAGTAAATTATCATTTAATAACGATGATATAAGGATTACTTGGTTGGTTTTTCACCGTTCGACTAAAGCCTTGATAAATGAATGGAGCCAACTTTCATCTCTCTGAACGTTTCACCGTCAAGAGAAAATGGTTTCTAGGAGACGGATTTGATTATCCAATTGTGCTTTGGGCTTCCAGCTAGGAGATGATTGGTCCGTTTTTATTCTTGGACTTGGCCAAAATATCAGGGTGAAACCTCCTTTTGTCATTTAGCTAATAAAACGTTTTATTCCTGAAGCACCGTGACTCTGTGTGAAAGCAGAACAATGAGCACGGTGAGGAAAGCTTCCAACACAGCCACATCAAGCAAATGCAGATTTTCTCCTGTGGGAATCACTGCTGACATTAATTAAAGGATGGAGGCAACACCTTTGGATTCATTTAGGTTCTTTATCCACATAAAAACCACATTAAAACCCATAACTATGCAGAACAGTAAAGAAATACAACAATCCTTCAACAGAGGTTTCATGATGTTGAATATAACACTGTTCTTCATAAACCTGTGAGACACCATCCTAATACTGACACTATGATTAGCTTTTTGCTTTTATTAATATTGAAAAGCAATTGGTTCCTAGTTGGGCTGGATATTTAATTACATTTGGCAATATAATCACAGAGGCTCTCAACTTTGGTTAAATTCAACGAGCATCAGACGCTGGTTTATTGAGTCTAGGTGGCAGTAATATGTTAATATCAAAACAGCATGGAGGAGAGAG